TGTTGATGTGTATTCCGAGTCTAGCTTGAGGTGGTGCAAGAGCCGCAAGAGAACTACCGAAGCCACAGCGACAAGTGAATGACATTGTCTGGCACGAGTGGAAATGTTGACAGCAAAAATTTAACGCTTAAAATGCCAAACACACAAATATTTTGACATTCAAAACACAGAGAGAGAGAGAGAGAGAGAGAGTGTGAGACGCACACACGCACATGCACAACCAAAAGGTTGCTGTTGTTCTATGTTGCCTTTTCTTTTTGCGTGGCAAATTTTCCATGAAAATTGCATGAATTGCAGATTTTTATACGCACGAAATGCGCTGCGCTTGGCATGTGACTGGAGTCAACTCGAGTTGAGTTGAGTTCTCCTTCTTTGTGGTTATTGTTGTTGTCGTTGTTTTTGTTGTTGCTGCTGCCGTTGGTACTGCGTGTGCTTCAGTCATTTTTATGGCACCGCCGCCGGCACTTGGTGCAAAAATAGAACCAAACAAAACAAAACACTATACAACAACAACGACTACAACAGCAACGAGCACAGCATGCTCTACATTGTTATAGAATTTGGCTTTAACAGTCGCTTACGGGGCACCTAACAATGACTTAATATATTGCAGTTGCGATATGTGCAATGTGGCGTATGCGTGATGTTCCTTGGCCACAGCATGCAGCCAAAAAGCAGGCAATTTCAGCGCAGGCCAACCAGTAGCAGCAGCAACAACTCAATTATATGTAGTTGTCGAGTACGGGGCGTATGATTAATGCAGTATATATTCAAATGCCAGCCGAAAAGTATGCAACAGTAAACGGCTAACAATCCGACACTTGTGGCACAGACACACACACACACACATGGGTAGTGCAATATATCTGTAGCTGGGGCCAGACAAATTGCTTAGCTGAGCTCTGACCCCCCAAACATAATTCGGCCCATGCAGAGGCAGTCGGAGTGATTACTCGAGTTGAAACTAATTTGTCAGACGAAAACTTTTACAATCAGTCTGAACTTAGTTTATCTTGAATTTGTTTCAAATAAGATAAGATGTATGCTACTTCTAAGCTGTTCAATTTAATTACCTCGATATGAGTGGCGAGATTTGCTCTCGAGATAGCAAAACAGCTGGATCTTATTTGGATTGGATTTACTTGATATCCCATTGATTAAGGTAAATCCGCTTTTGTTAAATGAAATTAACTACAAATAGCCGTTGACGACTGCATAAACAATGCGTAATCTTATTCAGAAATAAGTCGTATCTAACTAAAAATCGCGCATTCCCTCATAGATCCCATTTAATTGTTTTGTCATACTGCACGTTAAGCCTCATATATAAGTTATATTTATCATTTAATAATAATAATAATAATAAATTAAGTATAGTTATATAAAATAACAAACATATATTATAAAATTATAAAACAAATATATTCATATATAATATTTTTAGAATTATTATTTGCTTTGAAACTATTTTATATATTTTTATTGTAGCTTAATACAAATTAGATATTTCTTTTTTTTTTTAAATTAACATTTAGTCTTTTTGATTCTACTTCTATATATTTTTCTGTATTTAAATTAAATTCAACGTTGTACAATTCTCTCATTTAATACGCGTAGAACAACACCCCACGGAGGCATTTCTTACGCCATAGCTAAAAGTAAATCAATTCCGCAAGCATTTTAGAATTTGAAGCATCAATCGTAATTTTGTCACGCTGCATAAATCAAGAGTGACAACAAGCTGCCACCTGGCAAACGCTGCGTATAGGCAATCTGCCAGACCGCCTGCTGGCCGGAATATCCTCAACCATCTGTTTTCGCAGCTGCTCTCTGACATTTGTCTCCTTTGTTTTTTAATGTCCAAACGCTATAAAATTTTATATACTGTCGAAACACAAATTCAACAACAACTGTGTGCGGCAGGACAACAGGATTGCGGTGGCAGCCTCTAGCTTTTACCTTTAGATGTCTGTCTCTGACTTGGGACATTTCGCAGTTGCCAGTCGGAGGTCGGCCGCCGGTAGTAGTTAAGCAGTTGTCATTTCGATTTGTTTGGCCATGATTTATGTCCAACTGGCGCTTGATAAACGACTGCACGCATTTCTAAGTGGCTTTCACTTGGAGCTGAACCGAAGTTGCTAGGCCATAAATTCGCAGTTGGCCGCATGTCTAAATTAGCGTTGAGGTAATTGTTGATATTTTGAGTGTGCATTAAATATGTAATGGTTTATTGCGGCAATAAAGCAGATAACTTAATTACATGATCTTTTCGTAGCCGAATAAATAAGCTTAAGCCACAAATGGGCCTCATCACAAAAAGATACGTATCCGCTTTGCTCTTTGAGAAAAGTGTTGCTCAACATAGCACAAATATTTGAGAAACTTATCTTAAATCCTATATCTCTTCTTAAAGAGTTCATTCTTGTTATATTCATTCTGGATGGATTTTACACATTTGGTATAAATTGATTTAATTATAGGATATTATTATTATTTTTAGATATTTAAAACTGCATATTGTTATTACTGATATTAAAATGAATAAAATTAAATTTATCTTTTTTATGCGGATATAATTTACATTAATTTTTCGAAATAAAGAAATTCAAATTGAATATAAATGACAACTATAAATAAACATTAAACAATTTTTTAAGGACGTGCTTCAATTTCTAAGTATTTTTAGTTGATTTAATTTATATTTATGCTTACTTTCTTTTGAGCAATCGCAGACACCGGTGACTGACAAGGATCCCCATCACAATCTGTATTTCTTGATAATGTATCGCTTAACAACATCTATATAATTGTCAGATATATACATATATATAGTATACACTTAGAGCAACACCAATCGCATATCATCTGCAAGTGCTGAACATTCATACAAAATGTGGCTAACACCACATAAAAAGGTAAGAGCCACAAATGTGTTTGTGGCAGGCAACTCAAATTTTAATTGTATGCGAATTGCCAGCAACTACTAAACTGTATTCAAAGTTTTTGTTTTAAGCACAATTTGCTTTTTTGGTCATTAACTCGAAATTGACCGCAACGGAAAATATTTCATTATATGTTAAGAGCAACGTTGCGTTATACATTGATTACGAGTTAAACAATTCAATTAAAAGTCTATATACATATATATATGTATATATATATATGTACATATATATGTATATACCAATGCTTGAAGAGCATACTAAATTGCATTTATCGCACCCGCATCAATAAATTATTTTTATTGTGCATTCACTCTTTTCTCCATTATTGGTTCTTGATTTCATTTTCATTTTTCCTCTTTTCTTTATTGCCATTTGGTGTGCAATTAATTTATAATAATATTGAAGAGTTTATCTACATTTTTATCACTTGCGCTTTGCTATGAATAATGTTGAATATAAATAAAAAGATCGCACTGAATGCCCAAAGGTTTGGACAATTTACATATGCAGTTGAGTTAATTGATAAGTTAATTAGCCATGGCTAGCGAGCTGCAATAATTAATCTTTTTGTTCAACATGTGAATAATTATGTGAACAGTTTTTATACCCTGAACCCATTGAAAATGAGAAATCAGTGTATAATGGTTTTTTTTTATACCCTGAACCCATTGAAAATGGGTAATCAGGGTATAATGGTTTTGTGTAAAAGTGTGTATGTAACGGGCGGAAGGAATCATCGTAGACCCCATAAAGTATATATATTCTTAATCAGGACGACGAGCTGAGTTGATATAGCCCTATCCGTCTGTCCGTCTGTCCGCCCGTCTGTATGAGTGCGTCGATTTCAGAAGATACAAAAGCTAGAGAGCTGAAATTCGGCATGCATATTCGTGTATACCATACGCAGTACGAGTTTGCTTTATTTTTTTCGATAAATCATCCGATAACCTTTTTATCGAGAATAATCGAAAAATTGATTATGGTTTTTCACACATTGGAACACTTTTAGGCCTGAGGACTTCAGATTTACTGTGTATATACATATAATGAATACAAACATTTTTGTAAAATTTTGGTTACCACGCCCCCCACGCCACCAATTTTAGAAAACAAATTAATTCTCATAATACTGCCAACACTGCAGCGCAGCCCAAGCGCAGTCGCTGCTTGCTGCGCAGTTAACAGAGCGGGCTTATGCGTGCGTCTGAATGCATGTGTATATATGTATATGTGCATAAAAGAAGTAAAGAATGATTAGAGTATCAGCTTGGAGGGTTCAGGGTATCTCCTAGTCAAGCATTCTCGACTAGAGCCTTCTTACTTGTTTTTTATTAAGTCACAACATTTATTGTACTTAATTGGATCTGGATAGCTCTTTTTTTAAAGCAGTCGAAATTATGCTTAATAATAATTTGAGTTATAACAGACCAATTATTAATCTAATTGCATTGTCTAGACGCTGTTCGAAATCAACAATACGACAATATACCCATTTCCCTGTAAAAACCTAAAGATAATGTATAAATAGTCTCCTTGACTTTTTACACAAAAACTTTCTTTCACTAAGCTTATAATATAAAAACAAATTGTAAACGAATCAGGGTGGGTAAAGCGTTTTTATCGAAAATTTCTTCAATAAAAATCAAGTAAGAAAGCTCTAGTCGAGACTGCTCGACTAAGAGATCCCCTGAACCCTTCGAGCAACTGATATTTCAATAATAATTCGC